TCATAATTTCTCTTGTTGCAAGGCTTGCTTCTCTGTTGAGAAAATTGCATTGAGTTCTGAGGGTGGATTTCTACACACAGATGTTCAGGTGGGTCATGGCCCCTGCATGTGACATGTGCGCTTGGTACCATGCTACTACAAATTGTCATTTGAGGGTGCTGTGAAAACTATTGTTGCCATCAAGTAAAAGTTAAATTATAAACTGAGTGTTGCAGGTGGCAAGGACATGGGCTACTGTGCACTGACTAGCCTAAGGTTTGTTTCCTTGGTCAGGGTCCATGCAGTCTTTGTTTGTTAAAAGAATCCAATAAAGCAGCAACTTAAAGAGATAAAATAATTCAAGGAGGTTCTTCAGCTCTGCTTTATAATGGCTTTATTTTCACATGACATGTGAAAATGACATTTTGTAATATGGATTTGAGAGAAAACCACTTTCTAGTGACAACTTTAAGTTGACTTTATCATATGTATCATATTGATGCCAGAAATAGAAGAGACAGCTCAAGTTTTGACCAGACTGGCTCTAATTATTTCTTTCAGTAGATAACGGTCCTGGGCTAATAGATGAAAAGACACTGTTGTTTTGAATTCTATCACTAAACAGGGATTTATCTGGGATTACTGTCTCTAGCATAATTGAATAGTGCTTACATGCATACAGTTATTTTACTTAGTATTCCTACAAAGTCTTACTGGGCTTTACTTCACATGAAATGCCACAAGACAATTTCATAGCTGGAGTGTGGTGTTTCAGGGTTTTTTTGGTGTTTAATACAAGGTTATACATTAAATCTAATTGGCTGAAGAGCCACCTAGATAGGAATTAATTTGTTGGAGGACAAGATACCTGGGAGACATGGCAGATATTACATCTGTTCTTCTTTCAATGTAAGCTGTTTCTGTTAATTCACACCTTGACTTGTGTGAGATCAATGGCTTCTCTTAAAAGGCAGAACTCTTTTTCTTTATCCAGTTAAATTTTAGCCAGGGTTTAAAGATTTTGTTGCCATGGTTAACGCCGTTGCTTCCTGGATGTTCTAGATAGGATAGTAGCTGAAGGCAAGCTAGAAACTTGAGTGTTTATCATTTCTGGAATGTATAAATGCTAATGCTCTGTGCTGATGTTGGAACAGATGTTCTGGTTTCCACATAGATCAAGATCCCATCTTGGCTTGGGTTCTATGGCTTTCAAGTTCTGTTCTCCCTGTGGTGTACTTTTTGGGTTGCAATAAGGCAGAGATGTCTAACCAGGAGGTTTTGTAGTTAGGAACAAATAGATCTGCTGACATTCAAGTGCCACCATGAAAAAGGCACTTGATTATAAACTTGGTGTTTAAAACTGTATTTATCCTTGGCTGGAAGGGGAGGTTGGTGTTTTGTTTTGGCTTTGGGGGGGTTCTGAGTGCTGGCTGCCATACCGCTTAGAATTTTTTTGTTTGTGACTTCCAGCAGAGACACTTTCAGATTCAGTTAAAATATGCCATGTTTTGCAGTGCTGTGAATAGACTGGCATTTTGCTCAGGGAACCCTAAGAAATACAAGATGTACTGAAGATCTCATGACTATAACAAAATTTTAAGAAAATACAACAAAAAAAGGTATTTGGTCAGGCCCTAGTAGAGGTGCCTAGTGCACAGTGGATGAGCACTGGACCCAAAATCTGCTGGTCTAGTGATTTACAGTCACATATTAATCTCTGTGACTGAAGTAGCTCCTGAAATGCTAATGCAAAGCAAGCATCTGCCTTCTTGAACAACCTTCACATTAGGAGAATCACAATCTAACTTTTTTTCTTGAGAGATCCAAAATTCTGACACTAGGAACAGGCCAGAAGTAAAACAACGTTTAATATAGAAGAGTTGGAATCAGATCCATACTAAATGAGTTTTTTCCACAGTTTTTGCTTTCTACCTTCTCTCTCACTTTTCTTCCCCAAGGGTAAGCAAGTCTATGTCAAACCCTAGAACCCACCTTGATTGAAAACTGAAGCAGAACTTTGGAAATACCAGAACTAATTCATATGGTGTGTTGGTTGGCAGGCAAGAAGTAACACAGGAAATGATTGCTTTGCTTTCTGAATCCAGTTTAGCATTGGAGAATAGCAGTATCAACCACAAATTTCTCAAAATAAATAACCAATGTTTAATGACCTGACCTAATGTGATTGCCATGAGCAAGTGTGTTTCAAAGAATCTGGGGAGGTTGGCCAGTTAGGGTCATTGAGCTGAGCCAAATGAAATCAGCAGGACATGAATTTGGCCTTGTATTTTGCTGTCTAGAATAAGAATTTTATGTGCTTAAAGTCAAGGATGTGCTTCCTCTGAAAAGCCACAAGTTAAATTGGTGATCCCAAACCTTTTAAGCCATCACTCTGTTCAAACCCAGCGTCATGATCAAATTTTTGTGATAATCACTGTGAAAGATCATTCACTAAACCAAAGGGAGCTCCTCACCAGTGCACTGGGACACGAGCACAGAACATTAACTGTAGACAGCTGATATGTCTCCATATCAGTATTACTGTATGCACCTATCCTGTTTGTATGGCAATATTTTTAAAAGAGATCTTTGATGTTCCTTATGTGCAGCATTCAGTATAACCTAAGTTGCTTGTGTATGGAAAAAATTGAAAAATGCCAACAATGGACTACAGCATGGACTTAGGTTTGGTAGCAAATCCCTGGAGGTGTGTTGGGAAGTCAGGAGAGGGTAGGCGACTGCATGTTGACATGCATCTTGTAGCCTGCACCTGCTCAGATGCCTATGGAGTTCTGGATTTGCAGTTCTGTTCTGTTTGTGCCCTGACTCTGTATTCCTGAGGGGAATAAAGATGCAAATTTCACATAATTTTTTTAGCAGTCTACACTGCATTCATTTCTTTCCTTGCTGAAATTAGAAGTGAAATTCAATTTCTTCAGTATTTTTTGAAGACTAATTAAAAGTTGTCTTGCAAAATATTAACTCTTTGTTTGTGGTGTGCAATTAACTTCCTGTAAGTTTTGGGGGGGTTTTTGTCTGTATGACCCTCCCTTACATGTCTTTGGTCAAAGCACAAGCAGGGAATGCTCCTAATGGAGCTGCTTTTCCCTCAGGCCAGTGATTTAGCCAGTATCTGCAACGTAAACAACTTAAGAACTTTCCATGTATACCTTCATGTCTAGGTTAGAGTCCCTTGGCCAATGTTGTGTAATGGCTTTCTGCCTGCTGCTGATGAATTATGGGCCACACTCTCACCTTTATAGTGCCATCAGTAATCCCTTCTAGAATCCAGTATCAATATGTTTCTGTAAATCCACGGGGACTGTTCAACTGCACAGCTGCAGTGTCTGACACACCGCATGGTTTTGGGCATTGAATACCTGCTTCACCCCTGAGAAATGTCTTCATGTGAACACCCAAATACTTATTTTTATGCTAGGTCGTGGTATTGATGTGAAATGCCTCTACAGTGCAGAAAAATTCACCTGATAACCTTTTTGTCTTTGAGGTGATAACAACCATTAGTTCTCCTTTATTTACTCTTTAACCACTTGGACTGTAAATACTGTACATATTTGTATCAATATAATATGATATATTATTATCTGTTAAGATGAGAAAGAACTGTACACTGTCCTTTTCCCTCTCTCAAAACATAGGGTTATCAGGATTTTTAAAAAGTGGCTATTTCTACCCTATTCTTGCCCTTGTATTCCTACTTCTCCTCTTCTCTCATGAGTACAGAAGATGTCTAAGTGCAAATACCGTATCATTTTCTGGGAAACCAGCTTCTGCTATATCAGAAATTGGACCCGTGCACAGTGGTGATTTGTGTGGCAGTTGTGAATGTATACAAAAGATTGTCTAAGCATGGACTGTCAGCAAGACAGAGCTGTGTGGTGTGCAAACTTCACTGCAGAAGATTGATTAGATTCATTTTGAAGCTTTTTTGCCTTCATCTACCAGGCAACAGCTGTCAGTGATTTTTCCCCTAAGCCCAGTGTTTCAAACTATATCCATCTACAGTTATCACTGTCATTCCAAATAACCAATGCAACATGAATAATTTCATGATAAAGTAGCATTTTACAACATGAAGTCTAAGAAGGTCTGCATTTATGCTGCCTAGTTTAGACTGATGACAAAATGACAGGCAGGGACTCCTTGCAAGAATTGCTAGGATGAATTAATTTACAATTAACTTGTTTCAGATAGACAATTCACACAACATAAAAGCCAAGTTGCCACATAAAAATAAGAACAAATTAAAGTAAGTTCAGATACCACCAAGCAGCAAATTAATTAGACAAGATGTACAAGCTTAGACTTCCAGGATAGTTAGTGCCAAAGGGCTGCACACTCTGCCAGCACTTCAGCAGTTTAAGAAGCTGCTTAAATTGATATATGGAAACATTCATGTATCATAAGTGAGCCTCACCTGCCATGTCAATAGCAAAGGGCCTGTCAGCTCTCCAGCCCGTGTACCAGCCGACCACTTTGCCGTTCTCCACGACCGGGCGCTCGTAGCGCCGGCCTCCCACCAGCCCCACGGGCCACACCGACACCTTGCGCGTCGTCCGCATCTGCAAGAGGCAGGCACAGCGTCACTGCCGGCGCTCCCAGCCGGCTTTCCTGGGAGTGCTGCTGTAAACCCACATCAATCACCAAGGCTGGGCACTCCAAAGCAATTCTAGCTTACAGACTGCGGCCCAAGAGCTGCCTCTGCCCACTCATTTTCTGTGAAATCTCCAGTTCTGTAGTCCATAGGCATCTCAATTCTACTTTAAACACCCTATTCATGATATCTTTTATACCAAGAGTTTTTAAAGCTGTGAAAAAACAGGGAGTTTTGTTCTTGTTTGGGTTTTCAAAGGCATAGTAGATCTTTTTTATCTACAAGACTGCAGCATTCTGGCAGTGGGCTTACATCTGTAGATAGCTGAGATACTACAGAAACCCAGTGAGAGAAAAATATAATAATAATGATTAATACACACTTCACTAGGACAGTACAATTAGTTTGGGACTTGTTAAAAATGCATTGAATAGAGGAAATTGTGATACACAACTCTTTCCTACCTGCAGCAGACCTGAGCTGCAGCTCAGATCTATTAAGGATTCATGAAAAAAGATTGCTAAGCCTTAGTCTTTTTAACTTCTGTATTTTCCCTTTAAAACCTCTGCTAGATTTCTGAGAAGGACAGAAAGCAGGCCAGGCAGGATGTTTGTTATCACCAGAAGCAGTTTTTCCCAGTGATGTAAATTAACTAAATACAGAACTGGAAGTGTGATCTTTATCTAGCATAGAAGAAGCCATAGGTATGCAAAAATTACTGTAGCAAGAAGTGTCCATGACTGGGAGTCACTTCAAGAAGGGCATTGAAGTGCAGGGGCATGTCCAGAGAAGGGCAGAAAAACTGGGGAAGGGTCTAGAAAGTGAGTCCTGTAAGGAGCAGCTGAGGGAGCTGGGGGTGCTCAGCCTGGAGGAAAGCAGGCTCGGGGGGACCTTATCACTCTCCAACTGTCTGAAAGTGGGGTGGAGCCAAGTGGGGGTCAGTCTCTTCTCCCAGGTACCATTAGGAAACAGCCTCAGGTTGGCATCAGGAAAATTCTTCACTGAAAGCCTTGTCAGGCATTGGAATAGCAGCCTATAGCATCCCAGAGAAGTGATGAAGTGACCATCCCTAGAAGAGTTCAATAAACTGGATATGGCACTTAGTGCTATGATTTAGTTGATGTGGTATTTAGACAAAGACTGGACTCGATCTTGGAGGTCTTTTCTAACTGTAAAGATTATGAGTCTGATTCAGTGACTTCAGGTAACCGGTTCAGTGGTCCATTTTCCCCAGTAAACAGGAGATAATATGACACAAACCCTGACACACTGCTCCCCCTGGGAAAATCAGACAGTCTGGCGTGAGAACTTGACCAAGCGAGTGCACTGATACAGCATCTTGCACAACTTAACCACACTGGTTCAGAAGCCACTATTTTAACTACTGTGCTTTAAAAATGGTTCTATTTAAACAAGTATTAAACTATTTCAATGTAATGTGGGCTTAATTTAATCTATTCTAAAAACAGTCTCGTCTTTTGTTGTAATTGAAACTTATTCCTTGGGGAAAGGTTATCCCTTTTTCCTTCCAAGCACTCTTCTCAGCAAAAACAAACACAGTTTTACATATTTGTAACCACAGTCCCCTATCGATAGATGCTGAAATAAAAGACAACCTTGGTTAAATATTAAACACTTCCCTCTCTCTCTGCCAAGGTGAAAGATTTATCATGCATATTATCAAGACTCGCAGGAGTCACGCCAGGAAAAAACAAAGACATCACATCAGCGTGGTTCACATTTCTAAGCTAGAAACATTAGCAGATTCTTAGAACTTATTTCACATAAACTATAAAATACATATTTAACAATCCACAAAAATGTAGGCACACACAGAAGAAAAATATGCACCTTCTCTCCCGCTGATTATTTGTATATCTTCAGATTTGTTTATCAAAAATTCCTCTCCTCCACCCTAGTAACTGTTGCAGCAAGCTAGAACATTTCACTCAATAGCAGCAGCCCATAGTGCATAAGAGCAGAGTATGTATTCAGCTGGCAGTATAGGGAATTCTTGTGATATGGATTCTCTCCAAGCCATTGCCTGGTTAATTGCCAGTGAGAGGCTGCCATGAATCTTTCTAAGGTTATTGATAAATGTATTTACCTGCAACTGTTCTCCCTGCTTAAGTTTAACTTTCCAATCTCTCCCACTCCTCCATGTAGTAAATGCAAAGTTAGCAATTAGCTATTTGGGTATGGACATTGGCCAAACCTTCTTATGAAGATCTTTTAGCTCTGGTTTTAATGACACATCTCTTTTGCTTATTTTGCTAACAGCCTGTTTACATTAACATCCAAACATGGACAGAGGGAATCATCCTGTTGGGCGTATCTACACAGCACCATCAAGCTACATTTGCCCAACTATGCTGCACCAGTAAATATCACAAGATAAACACACATGGTGCCATTAATACTTCCTGGAGAACAAATTATTAGTGTTCAGAATTGCAGTACTTTGGCTGTCCTGTGCCAGCTGTCTGTACCTAAACTCAAAATGCCACAAGCCAAAGACAGGCATACTCTGACTGCAAGGGAGTGGCCAGAGCACAGAGCACCCATGCCTGTGTGCACAGTGAAAGTTTGGGAGCTCTATACAAAATGAGCCATGTTACACACGACTTCTGAACTGGGTCAGTAGTGGCCTCAGCATTTATGCTGGCAGAACCAGATAGATTTACATTAATACTCTACAATATACAGTGTTTTGGAAAGCCCTGTCAATGAAAAGTATTTCACTGACCTCATAAAACCAGCATGAAATGACCCAAGAAGTTTTAAACTAATAATCTTGGGTCAATCTCAGTGTCTGTGAGTTGTCAGTAAAGCCACCACACGTCAGATTCAAGTAACCCCTTACAGAGCTCTTACTTCTGTCCTTGGATGACTTTATTCTTACAGGTTACATTTTTGAAGAATGAAATAAGCAGGTGTCAAGAATACAGCAATTCCTTTAAGTAAAAGCTGAAAGAGCGCATCTAGACCAGTATTTATGCTAATTCTGAAATACCTCACAGCCTTGGGATATGCTAGGCAGATGAAAGTAGAAATATTTCTTTTAATCTTCTGAGAGTAGCATTACTGCAGTTAACACACTGATATGTGAAGGCTGTATTTATGTATGATGGGGGAAAAGCTATTATTTGGATTAAAAGGCCAGCTTGCACCTGGAATTTTATGCTGCTAATCATCAGGACACAAAAAAAGTGATTCAAAAATGTTAAATCTGAATAGCTTTAGAGATGTGGGTTAAACAACTGTCAAAAATCGTAGGACTTACCAACAGCTTCCTAAATGACTTTTCTATCTGTCATTGTAACAACGGTAGCACAAGCTGCGTTAACACTCAGCATTAAAGTCCTGGTAGCTTACATGAATGGTATTCATCTTACACTTCACTCTCTGCAAGTCAAGCATCTGCCCTGTCCTAGTTAGACTTCAGCAGTTAACGAGCAGAGATGGGACCCCACCAGCAGGATTCATCCTGCCTGGCTTGGACAGCTCTCTTAAGGTAGAAATGCTTTTGTCCTCTGTTTACCTTTTGAAAGGGGATCTTGGGCATAGGAGGAGAGTGATGTACTGGGTGGGGAAGATGGTAGAGCAAACCTGAATGAAATAGGAGGGGGAGGAGAACTGGGAAGGAGTGGGCAAGGAAATGACAGAAGAGATGAGTAACAATTGACTGAAGAAATGCCAGTCAGGTGATGGGCATACAGCAGTAAATACAGTAACAACAGAGTAACCACTGAAGAATAGCAAGTGAAATGAGTGAAACGCAGGAAATGGAGCTGAGGAATAAAAGACAGTGATAAAAGCATTGCTAAATTTAGCATCTCATTAGTCAATCAAGAAAAGCTGCTTAATGGGATGCGCTGGACTGATGGATAGGGAAGATACCAAGCCAGTAACAAAATATAAAAGCCCAAGGGGAATCAAGGCAAATCAGAGAAAAGGAAGCATGGCTGTACTTCCTATAGTGAAAAGGCTTCCAGACTGGAACAACCATCCTGCTGTTTTTGCAGCATGATGTCAATGTGTTTCTGTTTGGGATTCAAAGCCCTCTGTGAGGGCAAACCTACTGCCACACCTCACAAGCTTTTTTCCCCTGTCATTTCAACCCCTGTGTGATTTGTGATCTGTCCTGCTCAGGCTACAGATTCACATCCATGCTCACCATCCTACCCCACACCCCTGCCCATCCCACTGATACTCCAGCAGATTTCTATGCAAAATTCTGATTTATTACTACCAAAGACAGGATCTAGAGCTCCTTCACTACAACAGTTCCTCAGGACAAAATTTTATGGGTTAAAGCATAAGCACAGCCACGTTCCCTGTCAGTTCTCACACAGTTCTCTGCATTACTCACAAGCCATTTAAAGCCAAATTCTGCTTCAATGAAACTTACATGAGAGCACTACGGCTCAGCTCAGCCTGATGCTGTGGCTGTTTACTGAGGCTTTGGGCTGAGCACCTGCCCCCACTTACCATCATTTCAAAGGAGATGCTAAGGCATAGAAAACCTGTGCTAGTGGCTTTTGTGGATCAGGGATTGGGATGCTTAGGGGTTAGGAACTTCAAAAGGCAAGTTTGTTGTTAGCAAATTTGACTGTGAAGTGTATTCTCCATGGGAACATTTGTAGAAGGGATCTACAAATCAAAAAATTGTCATTCCTTGATGTAGCTTCTTCTGCTCTGCTTCACCATTCTCCCTGCTAGAAAGCTTTCTTTCCAAGCATCTGCTCTAAACCTCCTCTGCTGATTTGTACACAATCTACATTGCAGAGGGAGGATAGATTAATTCTCCCTTTTCTTTTAGCAACATTTTATATATAAGGTACATGACTAATGCTTCTAAATTATACCAGCATCCTTGGGCACAAATGTCAATATTGCTTCCCTGCAGAAGAAAACTGTACCAAATTTAACTAAAGCAGTTAGCAGCCAATTTCTGTGGACTGGGACAACTTCCAAAACATTTGCTACTCATTTTACTTCTGAGCCCTTCTATTTACTGGTTGCCTCATTCTACTCACTATCATTCTACTGGGTTGTGTTCACCGTACCTCTGAAGAGCTGCTGACCCGGTGTAATTAATATCACAGTAACAGTATCAGTTTCACAGGTAAAACTGCTGCTGCCAGTGCAGAAACAGAGAGTACTTGGTACTTTGTAACAAAGCAAAAACCTGTTTCAAATAGCCTTTTTTTTTTCCTTTTTTTTTTTTTTCTTACTGGTTCCTCTCATTTTTAAGCTATTCCTTTCTCTGCCAGTCTTTTCTAATCCAGCCTCTTTAGCATAGGTATTACATGTCTATGTGGAAGAAAAATGTCAGTGTGCATTTAAAATCTGTCATGTACTTCTAAATCATTTATCTACTAGAAAGGTATTTAATGCACTGCTAACTCATATTTGGATCACTTTTTATTCTGAAAAAAATAACTAATGACTGCCAGCTAATATTTAATTCTGTCTAGACTACTGAATGTTATTTTTAAGACTATTATAAAAATCTGATTTTTCCAACCAGCTCTAAGAGATACAACAACGGATTTTCATGTTTTCAATGATAAAAGATTAACTTATACTACTTTTAAATCTTTTGTATAAATATATCCATTTTAAAATACACAGAAGTTAGCTTAATACAGTGTATAAAAATTAGGACAGTTATGTAAGTGTTATTGAAGGAACACTAACACTTTCCTAGTCAAAGACGGAATAAATAGTAAATATTCACCTCTTCTATAATGCATTTTTTGAGTTCCCCTCAAAATATTTTACAAAGATGATCACAGGAAAACTGAAGCCTGTGTGACATGCAATGTCTGCAAATATTTCTGTTCCATTTTTAATAAACAATGAATTCTTTTTTTAGGCTACTGAAATGACTGTTAAAAGCCATTAGAATATCTGCCACCTTCATATATACCTTTTGAGAGAGAAGGGCAGGGACACAAGAAAACTCTTTCAGTCTGATTATGTGGCTCTTTGAGTCTTGAGCTGCCTGTAAAGACTACCTCAGCTTAGGGAGAGCAAGATGAGCTCTGTCCTCTCAGACCTCCTTTCCCGCTTCATCTCTACCATCACATTAGGGCACTCTTGTGCAGGAAACAGCTACATCAAAATGAATTCTGGTCCACAACTCAGTGGTCAAAAGGACTAACTGCTAAGCTTATCAAGTTTGGGTTGGGTTTCTTTACCCCTTAGAAATAAGAATCAGGGCTGTGATCTACTCTGAATTCCATGCTGCAAGGCTGTATCAAATCACCTTAGAGTGTGGATATCTCTAAGGAGACCCAGTCTGCAAATCCTCTCCCTGCACTCAGACAAGACAGTGGAATGTGCCACACTTGCATGCTCTAGGCACCCAGCAAACATGGCTATGAAATTTTGGACATTGATGACCAGAAGCCTGAGGGTGGCAGGGAGAGGGAACATGGTTTTAGATATGCATCTTAATTGCAAATATATGTGTCTGAACAAAACACAAGCAAACATGGCAGAAATAACCTAGACAGGAATCTCTAAATCTCAGCGTGGCTTTGAAAGCAGCAAGCTCACTTTCAGACAGATATTGAAGACCTTTACTCCTCTTCTTGTACTCCTCATGCTGCTCACCCCTCACCTTCGAAGCTTTCAGGGCAGTCTGCACAATCAACAGCAGAGTGGATCTCCAACACTAATTCCTCCAACTGGCATACATATCCAAACATGGACCATGGAAGTGATGGCCTTTAGCCAGCTACTCAACATATGGAAAGAGCAGAGAAAATTCCTGAGACACAGAAACACAGGAATTCTGTGAAGAGTTAAGGGAAGTGGAACTTAGCTGTATATCTTCAGTTTCCAGTGCTCAGGTTAATCCTGTTTTTAAAATCTCTCTGTGAAGGAGGAATGCCAGTATTATCTAAGGTTTTTTTCTTCTGGAAGTTTAAAATGTGAAATCAGCAGTTGCTAGGCATCAGTCACAATATTGCAATAACTTGCATTCAGGAATAAGATGAAGCACAAATGCACCAGAAACTATAAGAATCACTCCAAAATGAGTGTGTAGTAAAAAATAGAAGCTATGGTGAGTCATGTGGAAACATTTGTAAAACATCTTAGATACAATAGGTGGAATTCCAGGCCTCAGTGTCTTTTTTACGAATGCAGGCTGACTTTTAACGTAACAGGTATTTTTGGAAAGCTCACTTGTTTTTGATGGAGACATGCACAAGGACATCTCCAGATGAACAGATCATACCTGAACAGAAAATACATAAATTATTTCTGAAGTCTCGACCCCAAAATAATGAATGATAAAATACAATATGCCAGACCACAGGCATTGAAGTAAAAGCATGATTTTTTTACCTGACCACCACTACACTCTCAAGTAGAAAGAGTTGGGAGTAACTTAAAAGCCACATCTCTATTCCTGGAAATATTTCTTCGTCACTGCTGCAGCCCCATTTAGTACTCTAAAGAATTTCACAATCACTGAACAGGTTGGTTCCTTCCCTGCAGCCTTTCCATGGAAGATGAACCTTTCCTAACGAAATGCTAAACTGACCCAATGCTGTAGCAGCAGAAAAACAAACCAGGCTTTCCACCTTATTCTAGAGGGGACAATTGAAGCTGTTTAGACCCCACCCATTTCAACTTTGAGGACATAGTTTCACCAGTCAAAAACTGACCTATCCACCCACATGCCATCGTAGGTCTGAGGAAAAAAAGATAAACAGCAGCCAAGGATTCCAGATTTACTACAGAATGTGACATTTTCCAGACTACTGTAAGCTGGGGTTTTTTTTTCCTGATTTCCATTAAACACACTCATCCTAGGTCTACTGGGCCCACCTCACTCCACATCAAATATAAAGTACTCATTCCTATAAGCATCAAGCAGAAGTACTTTGGGCAGAGATTAGAATTTCTTCATCAAAAGCTCTCAGAAGTATCCCATGGCATTCCATGTCAAAGCATGCTTCTTTTTGATCATGGCCTCATGGTTCATACACTGTAGCTGACAGGAAAGCCTTTGCTGATCTTGCTTTGTTAAAAGGCTCCATCTCCTGTAAGGACACCAGGGAAACCCACAGCAAAAGAGCTTCCTTAAACCAAATCCTTCACGACGTGCAGTTCCCTCGCCCACCTTCTGCTCTGCAGTCCTGCTTGTTTGACCTCTGAGCAAAGCATTTCCCTAACACAAATGTTCCTATCATGCTGGCTTTACAGTCCTAGCCAGCCTTGATTCCCATCTCCCCGAGGCCCCACTGCTGCCCCTGGAACCAGCTTTGACTCAGCAGCAAGCCATCACAGAGAGACAGACCTGCTATCTCATAAAGCAGCAGATGCACAATGTACACACTGCCTGCACGCAGTGCTGCTGCCACTGTGGGACTGCACACCCCTGTGCCCGTGCCAGCGACCTGCTGAAAGTCACACAGCCAGCACACGATGCTGCTTGAATGAGAGTTCAGAGCTCCTGTCTCATCCTACATTTAAACTTCTCCCTCCTAGTGAGGAGACTACAGTTTATCAGACTTCCTTAGGGAAAGCAGCTGCTGGTCTGGAGAATTGTTCCTGGCAGGGCAACAAACTGAAAAAAATTCCCTCTCAGGTATAGTTACCACCATTTTTATAACAGGAATTACTACCAGATTTCATCTGCAAACAATGCATTCTGAAGCTGTTCTTTTTGTGCTTGGAGAAGACAGGTATAATTTACGTTCATAAATCAATCAATTCCTGAAAGGGAGATCAGGATTTACCACGGAGTTGTCAAGCCAGAATCCATGAATACATGGATTTTCTTTTATCGAGTCAAGAAGCAACCAGCCCCCTAGCAGTGCCTCGACTGCAAAATCAGGCTCCTGGCTCACTCTAAATGTAACCTCCCACACGTAAAGGCGCATCCCGTTGGCAAAGCCTGCCAATGGACTTCCGTTAACTTTGCCAGGTCTGCAGGGCATTCCCCTGTTGCTAGCAGTGCATCCCAGAGACCCTGCCAGCAGCTCCTTAGAGACCCCAAAAAACACTCACAGGAACTCGCAGCGACAACTGAAGCAAAAGCTCCTCCTCTGCTCCTGTAACTGAGCTTTCCCAGCTCCCCATTTCTCAGGGAAAACTCATTCATGCATGTGTGTCTGCCTGTGAACACAAGGCTCGGAACAAACAGCTCTTTCCCAGCAGCTCAACGCAGGGGAAAGGGAAGCCTTAGGGTTGCAGAGGTTCATGCTGGAAGTTACAATGCTTGTTAGCAAGAGGAAACACAGGTTGCCTGTTGTCCTAGCAATTCTCAAGGCTGAACCTTCAGACAGCTTTATCCCTTCATTTTCCCACATTTCCTAGGTAATTAAAGAGGTGATTTGTACTTTTCTGTTTTATGATTCACAGCAATTAGTAGAACGATAGAACTTTTAAAAGAATAAATGTGACCAGACTCTTTTTCAATAGCTGTGAAGCACTCGAGAGAAATGCCAGCCAATACTGTTCCTTCAGCTTGTCCCTAACATTGGTACTCAACAGCAACAACAACAAACAACCCAAACAAACAAACAAAACCCACAAAAAACAAAACTCCAAACAAACAATAGATATTTGCCAAATATCTTTTGTCCCACATTACTCATTGTGCCAAAGTGTATTTTCTGTTTCTATTTACAGACTCCCTGAGATTCAGTCAAATTAACCTTATTTCCACAAATACATGTGAGCACTCCCATAACATCAAAGACGGGTATGTGAAATTACTCTGCATTACAATGCACTGAGCACAGCTATGAGAATTTTTAAAAAATCAATTGCAACAGAGGTTTGGCCTCTAGGCAAAGGTCCTTAAATTAGCAGCTTCAGTGCTGAATGCCAAGCGGGCAAAAGAAGTAGGGTATCCCTGTTGAATGGGGAGCCTGCACCTGCCCACACACTGGAAATGGAAAGGGATGCATTATGAACCTAAACACAAACGAGCCTAAGCATTTCTAAACCTGCTTTCCCTAAGGAATTGCATGTGCTTCACATTTCTGTGTATCACGTTCACTTTAAGTCATTGACTGTAAAGCACGCGAGGAGGGGCACAGCTCGGCAGCAGCGGCAGGGGAGGGGTGTTCACCTCGGACTACAGCTCTGTCCACCGGCACAACACACAGACCGCAGCATGCCTGAAGTCCTCTGCTGCCAACTTGCTTTGCTGTTTCCCTGCCTCATTTCCCTGCCAAGGTTACTCTCCTAGCTGTCACATAAGATGTACATGATCTTTCTTCTACTGTTTTATGCCCACCTATTAAACACCCTTCTTCCTGCCAGGGGGAACCCAGAAAGAAAGCTGGATATCCTCTGCCCCGAGCGCCTGCCAGTTCCCACCAAAATGAAACAAAGCCCTTCACCAAGGGGAGGCAATGAAGACAAAAACAGGTCCCTTCACAAAAGAGACTCCTGAAAGAGCGTTCAGTCGTTACACAAGCGATTTGCTGCTTTTAAGAGCGAAAGGCTTCCGAAAGCCAACTCCACGTGAAGAAGCCGGCTCTGGCTTAATTCATTAGCGCCAAGGAAAAAACTGTAGGATGGAGACTCCTTATGCGAGTTGCCCTACAAGGGAGAGGGATGCAGCCTGAAAATAACAAACCAAGGAGCACTTTTCAACCCAGTTTTGACAAAAAACACAGGATCCCTTATATAAACCTTAAACTCGGCAGCGAAGTGAGAAAACAGCAGTAAAAAGTTGGGGGAGTATGGAGAGGAGGGACAAGAAACTTAAAATCAGGAGAGCGGTGGTCACACAGAGGCAGTCCCGGGAAGCCCGGGTGAGGGACGGGCGCTGCAAGGTGGAGACGGGAAGCGGGCTTGACTCCCCCGTGCCCGGAATTTTTGGATAAGGGACACCGAGTTCGCCGCAAATCGGGGATGGGGAACAGCTCCGCGCGGGATCCTGAGGAGGGGGAACGGCAGGAGCCAGAGGGGAGGCGGGGAGCGGCCGGGAGCGGGGATGGGGACGCGGCGGGCGGCTGCGCGGAGCGGTGGAGCGTGGCGGCCGAGCGCGCCCCCTTGTCCCGCACGCACCTCCTGGAACAGCTCCAGGCTGTAGGTGTTGTCGTCGTCGGCGAAGAAGAGCACCCCGGGCTGCGGGGGCGGCAGGTGCTGGTGCCGCTGCCGCAGCCAGGCCAGGCCGGCGTTGCGCTGCTCGGTGGCGCGGGGCAGCCCCGGGCGCTTGTAGCGGCGCGGCGTGGGGACGTGCAGGTGAGTGCAGGGCAGCCCGGCGCCCGCCACGAAGCGGGTCACCAGCTCGCTGCGCGCCGCCGCGTCCTCCACCAGGATCCAGTGGAGCCGCGACACCTGCCGGAAGGTGTTGGCCAGGCGGGTGAGCTCGGCCTTCTGCACCGGGCGGCTGTAGGTGGGCGTGATGGCATAGATGGTGGGCAGCGCGGCCTCGGGCCGCCGCCGCGGGGCGGGCGGCCGCGCCCCGCCGCTACCGCCCTCGGCCCCGCCGCGGGGGGACAGTGCGGGCAGCGGAGCCCGGCTGCTGTCGATGTCCAGCACGATGATGACGATGAGCACCCAGGGCAGCAGCAGGAGGAAGCGGCTGAAGAGCAGGGACTTCATGCTGCCCCCGGCGCCCTCCCGCCGCGCCGCCGCTCAGCGCCGCCCCATAGACGGGCGCGGCGGGGCTGCCACACCGCGCTGCTCCGCGGGGCGCCCGGGCGGCGGCGGCGGCGGCCGGGGCGGGCACCGGGCGCTCCCTCCCTCCCGCGGGCGCGGGGGCCGCCGGCGGGGCGGGCCGGGGAGCCCCGCGGTGCCTGCGGCAGCCCGGCGGGGCAGCTGCCGGCCCCGCTCCCGCCGCTCCTCTATTCTGCGAGCGGCCGCCCTGCCTCCTCCTCTTCCTCCTCCCGCTTCACCCTCGGCATCGCCGGACCGGGGCTCGGCGGGGGGCTCTGGGGAGACGCTCCTTCTCCTCCGCTTCCCCGGGCAGCTCTGGCGGTGCGCGGGGGCGGGGAGGGGAGGGCGGGCGGGGAGGCGGGAGGGAGGGTCCCCGCGGGCGGGGGCTCCCGCCCCGCCCCGCTCCGCTCCGGCTGCCGCCCGCGGGGAGAGAGCGGCGGCTCGGGGCGCTCCGCGCTCGGCGTCCTCGGGGGCGGCGCCGGGCCGAGGGACGGGGACTCGGGTGGTCACGGGGCGCTGCTTCTCTCCGCGGCGGGCGACAACTTCGGCCGGTGGCCGGGACGCCTTCCCCCGGACAGCGCCGGCCGCCGACGGGCGGGGCTGGGGTTGGCGGACGAGTCCGTGCCCGAGTACTCACTGCTCGGAGCGGCGGAGAGCCGCTAGCTTCATTTCTGCTTCGGTTTGGTTTTTGGGTTTTTTCCTACCTCGGTCGGAGTAAGAAGTTGTAAATAAAGCGGTGGTTTGCCGCAGCTCCCCTCGGTGCCCGTCTGTCGGTGTCGCCCCCCGCCCCGCACCGCCCGCGCTCCCTGGACCGCATCTCCCCGGAGGCCACATAGAATTGAGAGCTCCTTATTAAAAAGCATAGGTATATATCAGGATTTCGTAATAATCCGCCTGTCTTTCTTTTTGAGGAAAAGGTGTTCATCAGGTGCTGCAACACACATGAAATGCACAATCTAAAACCTCTTACAAATCCTTTCCTCACAGGGAAGTTTCCGATGCATTTTTCAACACTCCCTGCTGTCATAACTAAACACTTCCTTACAGCTTGACTTATGCTTTTAAAACTTCATGCTGCATAAGAACACAGAAGCACAGCAGGAGAGTTTGCAAATTACTGAGTTCTCCACGATTCTCTGATTAAAACGTAGAGCTCGATTGATGTTCTCACTGGCTTCTGAGCTATTTGAGATAAGAAATAGAGTGATTCGTCACTGATACTTTGATTTTTGGTAGGAATAGCATGGCTTGCAGAAATGGGGAATGCCTGCACGCCAGCATCCTGGACTTACACCACTGCTTTCTTTCCTGTTTTATATTCAGCCTTCACATTTGCATGTGTATAACAAATGTAGATAACGTGGACACTCTATCTATCATTCATATCTATCCCAAATCGATTTGTTATTCAAAAGGACACACACACAGGACATCGATCCGATGTAATGTAAGCTGAAATTCATGAGACAGTGAGGGCGACACCTGGCCAGGCACTGAACATCTGAATGAAGAAACATCTGTGTAGCAAAGAGATAATTAGAGTTAGCATGTTTAGTGGAGGAGTGGAAGAGTTGTTATGTGATTAATGAAATAATATGGAGGAATGGAGCAAGCATAAATAGTTCAATATATTCAAATCAAGAACATCTCAGACACAAAATTACAGTTGCCTGTTTTGTGCTGATGCTGTTTATCTAGAGGACGATCACCTAAACTGTGTCTTTCCAGTGACTGAGCACACCATTGTTTTCTCATTTCCAGTACAATTCTATTTACAGAGATAATTCATTCAAATAATGCAAACATGTGTATCAAAGCAACATACCAATATATTGCTTGGTATCATTTACAAGTCAGCAATCATTTGGAGAAGTTAATTCTAAGCTTGCCATTTCTAGATACTCTATGATACCATGTCAGGATTCTTAAAAAATTATTGGGTCAGAACCTAGAAACCAAGGGTTACAAATTAATGTGTTTAATTTGCATTCTTTATAGCCAAACATATTAAAATATTTTTAAAATACTGGTTTCCCTTTATATTACCTTTCATCCAAAACACTATCTTTAGTTAACTTGTATGTTGTATTCAGAGCCTATAGAGGATACTTAATAGTTTATGGCTGCACGACCTTAGTAAAAGCAGCAATAAGAATAGCTGAACATAATTGCAGCAGTTTAGGAAGGAGCACAAACAGTAAGCACCAGGGAGGTATCCCGATGAGCTGTGATCTTCCATCTCTTTAACTGTATTCCTGAAAGCTGGCGACTGTCTCTCTATGCTTGCTAACAAACACTGCCTTTACTCCTATCACGGCTGCTGTAACAGCAATATGAGACACGTGGTTATTTGATAACAAATTGCAATGACTACATTTTCCCTTCAGAACCACTGTAACACTTTCAGGTGCCACAGAACAGGCTCAGAGATCATGAGCCAGATACATCAGGTGTGATATCTAATAATGTAGCAGCACTTTCCTGTTAGCTTCACGTGCAGATTATTTCAGATGGAATGGTAAAAGATAATGAAGGCACTACATACAAGCCAACTGCTTGTATTAAATTGGTGTTTCTTGTTAAGAAAGCAGAATGTTCTTCCTCTGGAAACTAGAAGAATCCAGTCAAATTACCACTCCATTTGTGGGGGCAAACTGTCTACAGAGATACTTTTTTCAGCTGAACACCTTAGCACTGGTTATTATAAAAATTGTCACATTTGATTTGAGGCCTCAGGTGCAACTCTGAAACAAAGGACAAGTTTCCAACTTGTGATGGATGGTACCAATCACTGTGTGACTCAGGCTGTTCCTATGGTTTCACACATAGTATGCAGCACAGTGCATATTCTGGGTAGTATCAGAGTGTGTGGGCAGGCATTTCTCTTTAGGATCTGGTCCAGAATTGTTTGTTTGCAGTAGTTTATGGTTTGGGTCATCTATTATGGTGTTGTGATTGCTGCCTCCGTTCTCCAAAGATTTTTTTCAGAGATGTGTCAGGACTTGGCATCCAATTTTTCATTTGCTTTCAAAAACAGCTGCCTCTACTTCAATTTCTTGTGCTTCTTACCAGCAGAGGATACGTGACTCTGGCAGGAGAATGCTTAACACTGTCCTAGAAAGCAGCCTGTGTGTGCAAGTGTGCATATGCACACCCATACTAAAGAAATCCCATCCCCAGGAATGCTCTCCACAGGCCCACAGAGGTTTCCTGTTCCAAACAGGAGCACACAGCAGATGCTGGCTGGATGCAGTCACAAGGAGCTGTGTAATGCTAGCCAGCGATGTTGTGCCCTGGCTCCTTTCTTCTTCATTGCTTTCAGTCTTGCCAATGTCTGTAAAAAAGGACAGGTGCGGCAGGAGAGTCGCCTTAGTTGTGCAATAGATGTACTGTTGCACCGTTCTTGAAACAATTCAGCTCTTTTTGCCTTTGTCCCCTCCTGACTCAGGGTCACCCACCCATCAGGCAGCTCTGTGTAGAGACTTCTGCAGCACTCCCATGCAGCCTCTCAGCTGGGCATGCTTGGCAAGGGACAAGCTGGCCAAACCTTTTGCTTGCTCCATTTGAATTTCCGCAGTTTCTGAACACCAGGATTTGCTAAAGCTAGGTACATTTAAAACTGTGTTGTTTGGGTTTTTTTTTTTTTCCCAGTTACTGGAAAGTTGGTCTGAGTTATACAATAGCATTTGAAATAAACTATTAACATTTATTGTTTCATAGGTTCTGCAGCTGATGGAACTATTACAGTCCCATGGGAAGCAGAAACAAAATCAGTTGGATAAACATATAAAAATGTGCAATTATTTTCAACTAGTAGATGAAACACTGGAGAGAAATAGCTTCTATTTCACATGGCTGTAATTGAATAGATTAAACCCAGGGACAGTTAATTTCTTTGGGCTATTTCATATTTTTCTTTCAAAAGCAGTGACTGGTGGTTACTGGAGGTGGGTAATTAGCTCTGGCATGCAAAGGGGTCTCACCAATTTGGCTTCTGTGATGGGTAAATCCACATGCCAGGTGACTCAAATCAAAGCAGGCAAAAGAGTAGCCTGCCTGTCTGAATGAAATATAGGCAGTGTAGTTTCTAGTGTTTGCAGTTACACCCTTTGGCATTGCTCAGTCAATCAAAATGTGCAATTAGCTAAAAATAAGGGCATTGAGGCTGCATCCCACAGGAGTGTCAGAGAACATCCACTGCATACTGCACACTCAAGTGCACAAGCCTGATCTCAGTGGAGTCACAGTGTATCCAGGGATTGAAAGGAGAACAGATTTATTACACATTAGTGAAGGCCCAAAAGACCCATGTGTAAGCCAGGCATCCTACTGAGAAGGTGATGTTCTGCCATCTGACAGGCACAGATCAGCATTCCAAGTGTCTGCACAGAGGTATCTTGGCATCAGCATGGGGCAAAAAGGTACAAAAAACTGAAGCTGCAGCACAGGATACAGCAAAAGCATAATTTCTTGTGTCCTCTTCTACTCCTTTACACTTATTTCAGCCTCATTAGACCACCTAACAGTTTTTCTAAGAAAGCACATTTTCCTATACTATCCAGTTATCCCTGAGAAGTTTAATCATCCAGCTCAGAAGAGAAAGCCCCACACCCTCATACAGGACACTGTGTGCCAGAAAACACAGGCTGTGGAGACTGGGCTGGACTTGCTAAAATAATGTATAAGGGGTCTGTGCTGCTCCAGAAACAGGAAACCAGCTGCCCAACCTGACAATGAGAAGTGAGATGACATGTTTATCTATGCATGTAGGCCATTCTGAAATAATTTTCTCTAGTTCTTTGTTTCTTTTCCTAATAAGCCAACTTGTTTATCACTATGGCAACCAGTGACAGATTCCTGGAAAAAAGAGCTGCAAATGCCCATTTGGACCTCTGTGGTCACGGGTGGTTGGTATGAGCAAGGTGTCATACCTGCCCCTCAGGGCTCTGAAATGCCATGCAGGGAAAGAGCAGGATGTGACAGAGGCAGGCATGACAGGGTGTGACACAGTGTGAGGGAGATGTGCAGAGTGAACGGGGCTAAGCACAACCTGATGGAAACCATCACAAAACTGAACATTTTTGGTTTAAATGAAAATAAACCAGCTATGCACAAGGCAAAGTAAGTTTGAAGTGCAGAGCTGAATCCTGAACTGGAAAGGCTGAAATTCAATTATCCTTCTGTGACATGGGCTCTGGTAATGAGGACTGGAAGAGGTGGGAAATGGATGTACAAATAACGTGCTCAGAGGAGGTCCTGCAGGCACGGGTATGGGTGAAAATCAACACTCTCACCAAACATCTGCTGACAGCAAACACATCTGAAACCTGTGTCAGTGACCTTCTTGCTGGCACTGAGCCATATTCCAGGTGACATCTCATAACTACAGCATTTGTTCAAGTGACAAAGGTGTGTGGGGCTGAGCAAAACATGGTGTCCAGAGGCAACCCTCAGGGGCAAGATACTTATGCAAAAATTAAAGTGTTTCTTTTCTTATCTACCTAGAAAAATTAATGCATAATCCATTCCCTCTCCTCCACCCCGACCCTGGCTACAAGAATATTAGCAGAGATGCAAACTCTTCTTCTTTTAAATCTACCTTTTTGGAAAATACTGAAGAGGACCATTCTTATGCTGTTTGCCTGCCCCTCCCCTGTGTTCACATAGCTCATATCAGAAGCCCCTGAGCCCTCCTTATGTTCTGGTACCTTCCTAAATTTGCTTATATTTTGAGTAGACCCTGAGTATGAAGAGATGAAAGTTAAAAGTTGTATGGTTGAAAAAGGCTACTTGACCCTTGGCCTTCATATGAAGGGGGTTGATTGTTTTATTCCATGTGGGGTTTTTTGTAATGTAATGTTGTGTTAATGAGGTAATGCTGTTGCAGCACCAGTGTCCTAGCAAATGTCAAGTGAGCTTTTAAGGAGACGTATCTTCTAGTAGACTACATGATACAGTAAAAAAGAACCAAAGCAGATGAGTGTTCAGGCATACAAATTTTTCTTTGGGTCTCAAAGAGCCCTCAAAGAAAAAGCCCTCAAAAGAGGATCAGTTTCAAGATACTGTATGGAATTTCTCCTCACGAAGATAATGTTTTCTTTCACTGTGTTGTGTTTTTTTTCTAAGGACCTCAAGCTGATGATTTCTGGTTTGGCTTGGTTTGGTTTGTTTTTTTGTCCTTGAGAAGTCAAAGATTCTGCTTCAGTTTCTCTTAAAATCATAAAGGAACCTCCTACATCTTTATGTTTCAGACCTGCTTGAGGCTTTATTGACAGAATGAATAGTTTTGGCATAAACCAGGCACGGACTTAAACCAGCACTGCCAGATGCAATCAAACTTCTCGGCAAGCATGATTCTCCCTACCTGAAGACTAAATCAGCGCTGCGTGAATCTGTTATCTTCCATCTCCCTGTTCAAAACCGGATCTGGGCTGACAGCAGTGACACTGAGACAGCTTGCAATCACCATGGTAAGTGGGTATTATATGACAAGGCTTGCAAACTCTCTTGCAAGGCAGCTGGGTGACACCTCATATTGTGAACCAGTAGATAGGAAAGTTTCTTGTCTTGGCTAGATTTCATAACATAATATTTAATTCTGGGTTGGCCCTTACCATAAGAAAATAACTGGCTGGCACTATTCTGTTTTTTATAAAGATGTATTTTGAAAATGGGTGTTGAGGATGTATCTCTGAGATGATTAAGTGTTTTATGGCATCTCTGAGTGATTTATGGCACGGTAATGTTTGAGCAGCTGGACAGTCACATCATTTCAAAGACCTAGGGCATACACCTGCCTCCTCAAACCTGAAGTTTGGGGAGCTCGTTGGCAAAACTGGGGATATTTCTTTATTTTATCTTTTTTATGTGTGTTGCGTAAGTAATTGTATAAGATCCTGGGAGACATTAGGCAGGCAATGTGAAAAGGCACATATGAAGGTGTGATCTCTGTCCAATAATCCTATAGTCCCACAACAACCAAGGATTTTTGAGGCTAGGGAAGAGCAGGAACCTTTTCAAATCATCTCCTCCCTAAGCTCACATTTTTCTCCTCTAGACAGACTTGCCTGTGCAGATCCAATACAAAAAGAAAGAGGAGTTTGCTTCCTCCTGGTGCAGACTGTGAATGGTGGTGCTTCTAAAGCAGTGAAGATGGCATTCTTGTCATGGGCAAGAAAGCCCATGAAAAAAGGGTCACTGTATCAACACCAAGCAGAAATTTGTAGGTGGGGAGTATTACTAGAAACTCTGCCTCTTTTTTCCTCTCAAATACTCTAGATGAAAAAGAAGGGACAGCTGGCCTTGGTCAGCACCCAGTTGGCCTGCATGCCTTGTCAATATATCTGTGGATTACTGCTGCCTTTCCATCTGTTCATGGCATCTTCTCCCACGCTGAACTTCTCACTGAACCCTAGCAGTGGCCATGATACAGTAAATACAAAAGTTACACAGCACCTTGCACTGAGCTTGCACACTCAGCTCGAGATCAGCTGGGTTTAGCAGCACTGAGGAACAGGCTCTGTGTTGGTGGTATTTGCAGCACTGCCACCGAGCCACAGAGGTAATATATTGCTCCTTCCCCCTTCACTCACCTTCCCAGTATTTCCTCTCTGTCCCAGCAGGATGTCTCTGGAGCCTTCCAGCTTGTCAAGCACAGCACACTGCTCTGTGCTTGAAAGCATATGGCCAACAAAACAAAGAGCTTGCAGCTGGAATTTGAATGTGGCACAAAGTGAATTGCTTTAAAAATCAAGGTATGTCGCTGGGAAGAAACAAATCGTAAAGATGCCAGACACAAAAGGAAATGTAGAACAACCACTGGTCTCAAGCCAGGAGCAATTGCCTAAACTTCCCATGATGATAACCCAGCCATCTCCTGATGCAGTACTTAACCATGCTGATGGTAAGAAAGTTCTCCTGATATTTTACACAAGCCTTACTGCTACTGTACATTCATAGGTTACTGTCTCTGCAAATTGAAAATAGCTGACCACTTTCCCATTTATAGCAACATTTTAGACAACTAACACCAATACTGCCCCTTCATATCTGCTTTTCTACAAAAATAGTTTTTTCCCTAGAAGTAAATTTTTAAATTCATAGTTAATATAGGTCTTTTCATTACAGCTGTGTATTTCTTAAAACATGGACTTCAATACAAGAAATATTGCTCTGATCAAGATTTTATCAGTGCCATGTCAAGTACAATATTTAGCATCCATGCCTTTCATATGATAATTGGAAGAGTTAAATTCTTTTTGTTATCTGTTATGGGTCCATTTCTATGGTACTCTTCCATAGTCAGGTGTTCTACCCTCTCCTTTCCAAGGTGATTGTATGGCTGTGTTTTTCAGGATTGTTCTTGTTCATGTCCTTTTTCCTTAGACTTTTCCCCTTTCCTCACAAACTCACAAGAAGTTCAGTGATTTCTGTGATTTTTATCCACAGGAAAAGCAATTTAAATAATTTCAGCTCATCCAAATATTCCTTGAAGGACTCTTTTCCTATTCCGAGGCCGTTCTTTTGTTAGCTAATAGATCATAGTTAATGTCTTTAGGAAAGATTAATTCAGTCCTATTTAGGCTATAATTTTTGAAAATCTATCTTTATTATTTGTGTTAATTTAATGGAATTTTAAAGGTTTTCTAAATTACCCTTTTCAGCACCTGCAAACTGTGGAAAACAAATCATGACCTTTCTCCTCCTCAAAACATTCTGATTTTGAAAACTTGCTGTAAGCTGACTGTCACTCTGAAATATGATCAACAAATTCCCCACAGGATCATCACAGAAGGTGTAATGGAACATCTTTCATTAAAAGCTGGGATAAAATACAGCAGCAGAGACTTTTTCTGTAGGTTGCTGATAGGCTCATATACTTACTCCCCTGGTGATTTGATTTGCCTTTGTGCTTGCAGTTGATGCATGAGTGCAGGAAAAGTGAGTGTAATACTTTAGTCAGGATGCAGGAATGCTCAATGGGTGAAACACCAGACAAGGGATGGGAGAGCTCCCACAATCTCCCAAACCTGTCCTACCTGAGATGTAATCAGGGAGGAAATTCCTGCACAGATCACCCCGGAAGAGCTACCAAAGGTTTGTGACAGATTAGTAATGCAGATTTTGGCTTTCCAAGGGTGAGAGGATGTCTCAGAAGCTGTGGGCAAACATGGGTCAGGTAGACTTGCAAACACTCAGGATAGCTTCAGGGGGTGGGGAATGGAAGGAAAAGGCTGTTCTTCATCACTAGGCAAAGGTTGAGGATGTGCTATTATTTCCAGAAGTTATTTTTCCAAGGACAATCTGCCCTTCAGCACTTTTGTTTTGTTAATAAGAATGCAGCCAAGCTAAGCAATTTTCTCTAAGTCATTGTGTGCATTTCTTTCTCAAACCATGTCCATGGCAAATTATGTATAATTGGTCTGTAAGGCACTCTGTGTCCTGCTTAATCTGTTGTTTACTGATATGGTCTTTATCAACAGTGACAGTATATTTCATGATGATTTTGTCACCTCTAACAGAATGTAAACAGTGATTATATAAGCAGCTTACACTCCTATTCACCATGTTCGAACACTTTGATTTCCTATCTCTTTAAGGGTGAGGACTGTATACAGAGATCTGGCAGCACCGACTGCAATTCATTGGAGCTGGATCACTGCATTAGGGATGGGCTACCCCTGCTGTGCTCTGCAGGACTTGCACGTAGGGCTGTAACTTAGGTGGCACTTGGGGCATGTTGTCAGATAGATCAGTCCCTCCTTCAGAGCACAGGTCTGTGCCAGATGTTGGCATGCTAGGGGACTTCTCTGATAGGCACAAGAAGCAGGTCCCAGATAAAAATACACTCTCATCAAACTCCATGTGCCAGTGTAACGATACCAAAGCTTTCAGAGACGTGCATTACCAAAACTAGGATCCAAATATATTTCTTGTCCTGCAGCCTGTAATTTAGTATATATCACTGAGATATTATATGCAGAAACTTTGGGGGTTTTCTTCCATGGCAGGCGGAACTTTATGTTTTAAGGAATATTATTCTTTCATAAATCCTTAACCAGATTTGGCATTTGAGAAGAAAAAAGCATTTCATCCTTTTTGTGAAAACAAGGCAACTTTTTGTAATTCTCAAGTAATCCAGCTTGACATATTGAGTTATTATAGCCTGAATTTTTCACTAAAGATGAGATACAGTATAATTCTCAAATAGCACAGTTTAACACACCAGCTCTTCCAAATATGCATGTATCTGTTATGTATAGTATACAAATGAAAGTCTCATGAACTTGCTCTATCAATACTGGATATTAGAACTGCACCATTTTTAAATTCTATATTTTGTTCTTCCATATTAATCCTGCTGTTATTCCAAAGAAGAGTGAAATTATTCCACTGCTTCATAGAAATCTCTGCAGTGTAAGGTTGAAAATGACCTCAAGAAATCATTTTATCTCATCATTCCCACATGTTTTTAGTTAGTGGGGGACAACTTCATCTCAATTCTATAGCAAGTTATGGACAACTGAACTCCAGTCTCATGGGCCACTAGGTATTCTAAGTTCTCAATATAGGTATCTTGAGACCAGGAACATCTGCTCATCCCTCCTCCTGCAGATTTGGGTGTATCCTGCTGCCACCTTTATAATTCATACGACTTGTTCTTGGCTCCTTCATTTTCAAGGTGATCCTTGAGGAGAGAATGAACTCTGAGCAGACAAACAGCACGAGCCACAGCCTGTTCCCAAACACCACCTTTCTTAAATAGCTCTGGTCCTTCCTTGGTCAGAGAAGATGACATTCATCTGATATCAGAGATCTCTCTATGCAACTGTGAGCTGGTCAGAGGCTGCCACGCCCAAAGTTTCAGCCAGGTCTCATTGGCTTCTGGTGGAGCAAACTATCCAAGCAATCTATGGGTGGTCATCAGAACAAGCATCCCTGATTTAGCTTATCCCCATCCTTGAGGCAAATTTGAACAGATTCACACCATCCTCATCTGCTCCGAAAAACAATCAGTGTAGAGGATGCTGGTCACCTCTGTGGTAACCAATGCTCAATTAAAAGGACAACTTCTAATCTATATTGTCTTCCCTCATCAAATGAGATTACTTGTTTGTCTGATGATTTTGGAGAAAGAGCACATTTCTCATGTGTGTGAAGATCCACATCATCCTTGTTTTCTAGACAACAGATTTAATTCTTTCAGCCATTCCCAAGAAGTCACATGCCTTATGATACGCGTTGCTCACCTCTGAGCTCTGTGATTCATGGAGCTACATTCTTCTAAAATTCCTAGCCCAAAAACGGACACAGTTTTCCAGCTGAGGTCACTAATGCCAAGCTGAGTAAAAGAACAAGTTCCTATATTTTATACCTGCTAATGCATCCCAGAAGGGTATTTGAATGTCTTGCAGCAGTACTATATTTAGCACCAATTGCAATCTATTGTCATCTTCTGAATCTTTTTCTGCAGCAGAAAAGAACAAACACATCCGGACAACTTCTACAGGCCCCTGACTCTTGACTCATCACATTTAAAGACACACTGAATGACAAACTCAAACAGGAATTTGCAATCAGTTGTACATACACCTCATAATTTTATATGAATCATTTTTCTTCAGTTTGATTCCAAAAACATTGTGTGGGATTATCAAAAGCTGTGGTACAGTCAATATAAATTCTGTCAGTGGTTTTGCTATGTTTCTATTCATATTTTAGATTTTTTTAGGATGGTATCATATGATTTGCTCTTTAAAAACCTGTATATTTTCTGTTTTGTTGGTTATTAAGTGACTTTGCAGTGAGAGCATTTCCAGGTACTGAAGTTAAATTCATCCATCACTGTAGTCCCATAGATTTCTTTCTAGCCTTGCTCTAAGTATAGGGTTTTTTTCACTTTTCACAGTAAAATCCTCCCTGTCCATCTGCAATTTTCATAAATGATCATTAACAGTTGAGAGGTTGCTCAGGATAAATCCTGAAATACTCTTGGGGAAATTTCCTCAGAACAAGCTCACATGAATAGAGTTAGTCTGTGCTACTCTATCCTGTCCTCTTGTTCAAATTAATTCATGGACGTAGCTGGTCAAAATTAAATTTATTTTGTGATTAATAAAAGAAAAAAGGAACTCCATGGAGTGTCCATCAATCATATTGCTTTTAAAATAGTATGCATTCTTAAGTAGATTTTTCAGAAAACCTCATCTATGATGCAGACTCCCATGAACAAATAATTCAGTGATTTCAAATTCCACCCTGAGCTCTGTCTGATAAATATGTTAATTTCACTATTATAACTAGATTGCAATGTAGAGATGGATTCACAATTGTCAAATTCATTCCATGAGACTAGTCCTTTTTAGATCACTATTTAACATTTGAATTATTTCTCTTTCTCAGGATCCTTTAAAGGATTAAGTATTAAATTATATATATTATTTTAAGAGCTGGGTTTGCTAGTCCTTTCTCTCCTCATAATTCATTGCCTTCACTTCTACCTGTATTTATAGTGTGCATGAATTAAGTTTGCTCAGGCAGAAAGCAAGATTAAAATACTTTTGAAAATCAGTTAATACCTCTGCTTGGATGTATCACACAGGAATGATCATGCCTATTTTTTCAGAATCTTCATGTTCTTGCAAAGTTTTTTGTGACTGATATAAATTTTACTCTTTTATATTTTTTATGCAGTTCTTTGGTTTGGTTTTTTTATTATTATTTATTTATTTAAAAAAAGCTCCTCCTTCTTATGCCAGAGTTTTTTTCCCCTGGTAGATGCAAAACATCACCTGGGTGTGCTCCTGCTCACACACAGGCTTTCCATACAGGTGTGTACTCACAATGCAAGATGCTTCTGATGCCAAGAGTAGTTTTAATTTCTAAATGAATTTTTTGCCTTTTGGTAACTTGGTGAGGGCACTGCCACTGACCTTAACAGTGTCAGACCATCGGCCACTGTCTGTGCAAAGCCTTTCCATGTAACATTCCTGCTGTGTCATTCATACAGCTACAGGGTGAATACAGGCATCTGTCCTCACTTGCTCACTATTTCGTTTCAGGGAACAGGAAGTCTCAGAATGCACCAGGATGAAGGTCTCACAGCACTGGTTGCACATAAAGAAGCTCCAGTCACAGCACAATCTAATTTCAGAGACAATAAGTGACATTAGCACAGAGGTAGAAAACTAAAGGAAGCTTGAGAAATTTTTAAGCCCTTACAGAAAAATAAGATACTTCCCTCAATGCTAAAGAGGCTTTTTTTTGTTGTGTTTAACAGACCTTTCCTCCTTAAAAAGGACCTATGTGCTTTTTATATCTTCTAGGAACTACTGCTCCACACAGAAATGCAATAAGCCAGACATTTTCATTATTAAAATATTTTCTTCAGTAGCTTATAGTTTTCTAGAAATAAAACTTGTGTGATTTCTTACCATCACAATTAAGAGAAAACAAACAAAAAAGAAGCAGACACTACAGTGATACAAGGAACATGTGAAATATTTAATAAGCAGAAAAAGAAACCCAGAAATAAAGGTTGTCCAGTATCTCAGATTTCAAAACACAAAGATTAAATAAAGTAAGTTTAGAGACAGTGATATCATTTTTCTGACAAGAGGCTTCTTTGCAGAAGATTGCATGAGGTTAAATTCCCTACCCTGAAAAAATTAAACAGCACTGGCTCAGAGTACAGCCTGGAAACCCAGGAGACCAAATTACTCTTCCTCAGTCACAGGAAAAAGAAATTCAAAGACAAACCCCAAAACTTTGCAGGGCTTTCCTGCTTCTTGCCTCTCACTTCCTTCAGTGAGCCCTGGCCCAAGGTGTGTTCCTCAG